CAGGAGGGGACCACAACCGGGGAACTGGAGACTGCATCCAGCAGTGATGAAACAGATTTGGCACCGCTTTGGGGTAGTGGTGGCCGATCTGTTTGAGCGAGAACGCTCACTGCCCACTGTACTATTCTGTCGAGAGGGACATTCCTCCCCTGGGATGCGATGCCATGGCACACCAGTGGCCTCAGGGGCTGCTCTATGCCTTTCCCCCCCTTCAGCCTCCTTCCCAACCTGCTGCAGAGGATCAGTCAGGAGGAGGTCGAGGTGATTCTGGTGGCGCCGTACTGGCCGCACATGACATGGTTCTCGTGGGTGACACCACTATTACACAGGACACCGTGGAAGCTCCCGGTTTGCCGGGACCTGCTGAGTCAGGCACAGGGGACCCTATTTCACCCCTTCCCACAGGGGCTGAACCTCTGGGCCTGGCCACTGAGAGGGCCAGCTTTTTAGACATGGGGCTATCAGGTTCTGTGGTTTATACCCTGCAGAATGCTCGAGCTCCATCGACTAGGGCGGCGTACTCGTATCGGTGGGAGGGGTTTGTGTCATGGTGCAATTCTAACCAGTTTGATGCAATGACTTGCTTTGCTCCGGAGGTACTCCGATATCTGCAAGAGCTCCTTGAGTCAGGTTCCACCCTGAGAGGTGTGGTGGCAGCTATAAAAGCCTCTCGTGTCGGTGAGACTAAGCTGTCTGCACAAGATGCTAGCCTTATAGCACAGTTCCTCAAGGAGGCGCAGAGGCTGGTGCCACGCAGGAGGCCGACCATTCTGACTTGGGACCTGAACAGGGTCCTGTCAGCCTTGGGACAGGTGCCCTTTGAGCCCCTGGAAACAGTGAGCCTTCAGTGGCTGTCGATCAAGCTGCCGTTCTTCCTGGCGATTACATCGGCTAGGAGAGTAGGGGAATTGCAGGCTCTCTCTGTACAGGAGAGTTGCTGTCGCTTCCTTCCAGAGGATGCAGGTGTCATCCTCTGTCCTAACCCAGCATTCTTGCCTAAGGTGATCACTGATTTTCACTTAAATCAGTCGGTGGAGCTGTGACCCCTTAAGCCCCCCCACGGGGCAGACAGGAGTGTGAAATGGTCTGCACTGTGCCCGGTTAGGGTGTTGAGGGTTTATATTCAGCGTACAGCTGCGTTCAGGAAGTCTGATCAGCTGTTTGTCTATTTCCAGCCACAGCTTCTTGGGAATCCGGTGTCAAAGGCGAGGCTTTCTCACTGGGTCGTGGAGGCAATTCATCACGCATACAGTGAGACAGGTGGGCCATTGCCAGAGGGAGTGAGACCGCACTCTACACGAGGCGTATCCACCTCCTGGGCCTTGTGGCGTGGGGCTGCCCTTGCAGAGCTATGTGCAGCCGCCACATGGGCGACACCAAATACCTTTGCCAGGTTTTATAGCCTGAACATGGCCACCAGTGCCTCCTTTGGGGAGCGCGTCCTGGGGGCCATGTCATCCTGAACACTATTTACTGTGCCTAGCAGAGTGCAGGCTATCTGAGTGGCCTCTTCCTTGCACCCGGCCCTTGCGTCTGGCAGGGTTGGTGAGGCAGGAATTGTATACATGGGGTGGCGGCACGTAGCATCTGGCAGGGTTGCTACCTTGTGTTTGTACATTTGTATATAGTTCTGTGGTGATTTTGTACACACTGTAAATTTCGTGCACCCGGGGTGGGGACGTCTCTTTCGAAACTGCCTCAGGGAGTTTGGAGCGGTGTCTGCTCTGTCTCCTTGGCAACCGCTCGCGGTGTGTGTTACAGAGCCCATAACATATATTCTATATGTAGTGGAGAGATATTCTCATACGATGGAGAATGTGGGGTTACAGTGTAACCCTGGTTCTCTGAGAATAGAGAATATCTCTCCACGTCAAGGCCGCTCGGGACCCATTCAAATCAGAATGAATCAGCTGATCCCTGTGCAGCTGGGTCCATTTATAGGGCGCAGGGAAGCCACGGTAGGCGTGGTGTGTCTTAAAGAAGTTTTCACGTCAACTGCTAGAATGTCAGTAAATCCCATAACATATATTCTATATGTAGTGGAGAGATATTCTCTATTCTCAGAGAACCAGGGTAACACCGTAACCCCACGTTCTATGGCAGCTGACAGCTCAACTGAACACAAGAAACAAATGAATCACTTGAGAAAGTGATTTGGTTCAATATGTTCACTTAGAAGACTTGTTCTTTTGAACGAATCATTCGCAAACGACACAACACTAACCCTCAGAGTTTTGGAGGGTGTGGAGGTGTTAAGGTATCTTAATTTACCTTAATTTCAGAGTGCTTAATTGAAGCATACTATTTTCAGGTGACAGCATTCGTTCCACACTCTCAAAAATATTTAGACCATATATTGCATATAAAATTTCCATCCGGCCAATAAAAAAAACAAACAAACAAACAGGCCAATAAACTTATAGCACATTTGTCAGTCAAATGTAAATTATTTTAACATAGTCTTTATCCTAAATTTTAACTAAATGAGTCTTGGGTGCTCCACAGCCATAGGCCAAATTCCAGAGGGGGACTACAATAGAGTTGTCCCCCCCAAAAAAATCCAGCTATAAACACAAATAAATTTTTCTCATAGGATTTTAACATTTGTTGACGGTATAAGTCAAGCTACTTCAGGGTGACCATAACCTGAATCTCCAAAAAGAGGACACTACTACCCGGGGCGGAGTTGTACGAGCGTGCAAAAAATTTTCAGGGTTTTTCAGGTCAGGTTGCGGGGTTTTCACGTGCTTCTAACTTCGTTAAATGCATATTATGAATTTCCCCCCAAATAATCTTAACCTCTTGGAGATACTGAAAAATTCTCACACAAAGTTGCACTTTTAAACAATATATTCATTTATCTAAAGCATTTCTCCTCAACGAAATTATCAGTCACGCACATTTCTGTATATTTCTCCCTTTTCTTTCACTCACTGGCAGACAGTGCATGCGTGCGTCTAGTCAGTGGCTTTGCTTAGAACTAAGCGGAGGAGCAAAGCAACAATAAGCACTGATGCGCTGTACTGTTTTATAATGAATGAATACATGTTCCGGGTTTGGCCTCTCAGAGTGTCTTTCCAAATGAACCATTGAACGTGTATGGCAAATACAATGGTCTGTGATATGAAGATAAAGTACATGCTAACAGACTGTATCGTCACTGTCCAATAAAAAAAACGTATCTTCGTTTTTTTCAGGAGCATGAAAAAACTGTTTTACGCATTAATTAACTTACAAATTAAACCCAAAACACAGTAATTAGACACATTTAGGACTCGAAATGAAAACCAATAGTTACACAGTGATTAGTGGCCCGTTTAAAAATGTAATCGGACTTACGTGCGTTATTGTGAGCGATATTAGATATACATGTTTTTTTAATAATGCGTTCCAATTATGTCCGGTCATTTACGAGCCCTGAGTCTCCTGTTTATGTCCCTCTAAGTTCGTAAACTATTGATAGCAGGCTATCCTACATTTCCACATAGCACATTACCCTAGTCTAAGATTTTTTTTGGCATTTTATATTGAAATCTGATTAATCTGTAGCCTATAGGCGAAGAGTCATCTAGTATTAACGCTTGCATCTGTCTGACTCGGTACACGGAAATCACAGATCTTATGGTCTATCCCTGGCTTAAAACCTAACATTATTAACCCAAAGATTATCTCTAAACCCCAGTCATAATGTCTCTGTTCCTGCATAACACTGCACCGTGCAAAATACTGCAGAAACCTACCTTTTTTGGCCTACTTGTATCCGGAGGCTATTAAGATACTTTGTTACATGAAACGGTGCAGTGTTTCCTCCTGAACAGATACATTTGGATACATTTTACAAATCCTGCAGGTGTTGTGCCGAAAAAACATCCCGAACATAAAGTGCACTTTCTGCTAATAGGAGACAGGAGGGAATCCTCTTCCTGGAAGACTGGCCTGCTGTAAAAAAAATACCCCTAACCCCGCAACTAACTAGGGGAGCTCCCCCCTCAGCAGAACACCTTTAGCATCTATTCAAAAGCACACCTTCTGATAATATCTAAGCTAAATAATAAATTATTTCATGTTTTAATAACCATATTAATCCTATAACATGTTAAATTTTTACACTGTAAATTATGTTAGCAGACAATGATGACCAAATAAAGTGAAACTGCTTTAATCAAGATTCAATAGAACTCATTGAATTCACTAATTAAAAAATTTTTTTTAGAAATTACAAAATACATGACAACATTACAATTATATAATTATGAACAGACAGGAAAGGGTAATCAGGTTTTTCGTGAAATAAACACATTTGAACAATAAAAATTAAGTTAAGAATGAATTAAGTTAAGTGATGTTTTTAGATGACAATACTATTTACAGTAAGTAAAATGCTATACATTGTTTAGCTGCTTGACTAACTCACTGTCCTCCATTTTATTAAACATTTCCCTGCTCCAACACACCTGATTCAAATGATCGGCTCGTCATCAGGCTTCTGCAGGGGCTCCATGACGAGCTGACCATTTGAATCAGGTGTGTTGGAGCAGGGAAAACAGAGGGAGCTACACACACACACGACTGGGTGCTGGACCACCAAGAAAGACAGGTAAGGAGAAAGGAGACCGCACCCTAGTTAAAAGCTTATGAACCTTACCTATGTTGGAGCATAAAACAACATTTAGGTCTGAACAACCTTCAGCCTTCAATACTTCAGGTATGTATCTAAGCTTGTAGGCCATAGTGCCATCCACGTTGTACCTAATAGACAGAGAGATGGATGAAAGAATTGGATGAGAAAAGACAGACAGTGGATAGAGATTATTTCTTCAGAGAGCATATTTCTTTAAATGCATTTTTACATAGAAGGGCTGTCGGTGTGTTTGCGTGTGTGTGTTGGCATTTTCAGAGCCAATACATTAGGCAACATTTGTGTGAGAATGTATGCGTATGATAAAATACCTGATTGCTCAGAGGTCATTCACTGTAGGATCGCCTGCAGTTTGTCCTGGTCAGATGGACTTGCAGAGTTTCACCTGCTGGAAGTCCTTGAAGAAAGTGTGGTTGACGTACCTCACCTTGTATGGCCTGGGATTGACGCGAGCACCACGGATCACTGCTGCATACTCAGCTGGTATGCAAATTTCTCTGTGCCTCAGTTTTCTCTCTATGACACTGTGCACAGAATCACACTCCATTTGGGTGTGGCCTCTTTCAAGGTATTTCTGTGTCACTGGCTTCTTCTTTTCCATAGCAAACCTGAGGAGGGCGTTGCTTAACTGCAGGTTTCGGTTCTGGTAGCCACATCCATCGCTCCACAGGATGTACTCATTACACAATAGGTGTGCTTCAAGATAATGCACGACACATGAAGCAAACTCATTGGCAGAAAGACCAGCTTCACCCTCATGCCACAGGTAATTTGTTGCACTGTGTGATATCATGTCAAAGATGGTTAAGTTATGGACACTGAGCTTGGTCTTGTAATAGAGGGTGAAGGCTTGCAGCTTAGGGCAGAGCAGGAGCCCTTGAAGATCCATGCACACCAACAAGGTCTTCTCACCTGCCTCATCTTTGTCCCTCTGCTTTGTTGCTCATGCAGTTTCCATTTTAATGACATGCTCCTCCCATGTGGCAGTGTCAAGGTTCCCAGCCTTAAATGCACAACAGCTATCACACTGATCATTTTTTTGGATGAAAAGATAAGATTTAAGTCATGAAAAACAGTGGAAAAAACTTGTCTTGACAGAGGCTGTAGATCTTGTTCTGCACAAGAGCGCTTGTACTGTGTGTGGAGGTGGCTGATGAACTTGAAAACAGGTTCCAGGTACATCTTTGTGGTGGAGGACCTACAGTAGTGTGAGGGGACTTTCGGCAGTTCCAGAAGGAAGGTCTTCAAGAACTCTTTCTCTTCCGTCCCTGCCCTTACTTTCACATTAATCCTTTCAGTCTGCTCAGGACTCCTCCCTCTTCTCCCCACCCACTTCAAAAAACACCACTGCTTAATTCCCAATGTTGACAGGAACATGAGTTGACACACTGAATGGTCTTCTACCATCCCCAACAAGGTTACAAAACATGGATGCTGACCTCCTGGACTGATCTGCTCTTGTCCGCCGCCGCTTCACACTGCTTATCTCCACTAAAGATTGGACAAAAATTTTCCTCTCCTTCCAGTCTAATTTCTCCCAAAAGTATTCAAAAATCTCTTCCCTCTTCGACTCAACAACCTGTCTGCAGTGCAGTTTAGAGGACCTTTGGCAGGCTGCAGATATGCAGGGCATCCCCATATGCCTTGCCTCCTTCAACACAGGCTCTTTATCTCTCTTTCCAAGATAGGATTGACCCCTCATTCTCCTCCTTTTCTGGACATTTTTTTCTAAGTGTACAGCATTTTAGCTAAACTATCAAATTTATCTGTTGACAGTAATCTTTGAAAGCATTGATAGCAGCTCTGGACTTGGAAGTTGTACCTCAAATAAACATCACTGAGTGTGATCATTTTCTCTTCCATATAGATCCCCGCCATCGTTTGTCTCTCTCTTTCTCTTATTTTTTTCAAATATCTATCTATCTATCTATCTATCTATCTATCTATCTATCTATCTATCTATCTATCTATCTATCTATCTATCTATCTATCTATCTATCTATCTATCTATCTATCTATATATATATATATATATATATATATATATATTTTTTTTTTTTTTACCCTCTGGGCTCTATTGTGAGAGTAAAGCACAATGGACTGAGCAGAAATGTGAGCCAAAGAGTAAGGACTGACTTGCAGGAAAGGAGCAACATGATGGAGGTGAACCCCTCCGTGTGTCCAGACCACATGCCCAGCTTGGCAGACCTTGGCAGACCTCGGTGCACCTCAGTCCACGAAAATACCTAACTGGCTGTGTACCAGGCTCTGCCAGATGAAGATACCACTGCGGGCACGAAAATAGAGCCCATAGTTTTGAAAACCAACCTCAGATTAAAACATTGAGCTACTCTGTGTGCACACAGCTGTGTGTATGTGTGTGTGTGTGTGTGTGTCTTCATGAAGGGACCATTAGTATCTGTTTTACACAAATAAGCATAATTGTCTGTGATTCTAGTTTAGTCACACGTCATCATTTATCATCAGTTTTCTGACTGTCTGTGGCAAGTTATTTAAATTATCTTGTGTGTGTGTGTGTGTGTGTGTGTGTGTGTCTGTCTTCCTCTAAAGGCCACACTTTTAAAGCGTTTCTCTTTGAAATAGAGACAAGTGACTCTTGTAAGCTACAAAACAATCCTTTATTTCTTTTTTAGGGGGCTGTTATAGCCTGGAAAAGTTGGCTTTGTAATACATCAGGTTGCTTTTAGGAAAACATCTTAAAGAAGAAGGGAGACAAAGGCTGATTCAAAAGGAATAACCTTAAATGAAGGTGACCACATACTGTGCACTGACTCCTCAAAATTGTTATTTAAAAAAAAAAATCCTCTCTGTCCAGGTCACCTTCAAGCTCTCCTGACAATCACTAAAGTATCAGTTTGATATTCTAGCTCCACAGTCAGTATTTCAGAGAAAGAGTCAACATTCATTTTTCGTCCCTCAGAAAAGGTCACACAGTAAAATCAAATGTCAGAATACATGTATTTTTGGTCCCCATCACCATCACTTGCTCTGGTAAAACTGTAAGGGTCTGATCTACTAAGATTATAAAATACAAGCACTAAACGGCATGTGCAAATTAAAAAAATTACATGCCCTTTAAGTGGCCATCATCAATCAATCAATCAATCAAATTTTATTTATATAGCGCCAATTCACAACATGTCAGATGTCAATTCACGACCTTCAGAACAGATACAGTACCTTTCTCTCCAATTATGCAGCAGGTTCAGATAATATTCTGAAATGAGCAGATCATTTATTTATTTCAAAAGTGTCTTTGTAAGTTGTCCCTCATGACCTTAAAAATAAAGTTCATCACTTTTCCCTTCACAGGAGAATCTTAATTAGATATCGGACAATCTTCACCGCACTCTTTAAATCAGCTCAGACCAGAAAATACCTCAGCAGAGCCCTGAAGGTGTCCAGATTGTTATGACGACAGTGACCGATAAGAGTTGCTGCAACTACCATGAAATCAGAGTGATGGGTTACAGGCCATTGTACAGGAGATGAGAGCTGTGTCCAATGTGGTGTGTGCCCTCCGCTGTGACACTTGAGCCATCGTTGCTCACACGAGGCAGCTGGTGAGTGCTGTGTCTGGGCTGACGATGGCTGTCAATGCCCAGGCATCAATCAAGATTCATGTCAAGGGTCATGCCATGTCAATTCAACCAAGAATCTCCACTCACGTCACAGATTTTGATGAAATTTGGTGGAGTGATTGGCCTTCAGGAGAAACTGTCAGAGCTCAAATATTTTTTTGTTCAAAGCCATCTAATTAGTGAGATAGGGGCTAATGAATTTTTGGCTAACTAGCATGACATGCGTTACAAAAGTGTTCATATCTCTGGAAGTATGGCACCTTGAAAGCTCAGGTGTCATTTTAAAGCTCTGAGGCAGCAGACAGATGAGTCTCACCATGGATTGTACAATGACTCTGCTAACTGTACTGGCATGCAATGCAGTGAGACCGTATTGCTATTTCTCTGTATGTCATTATTAAAATGTTCAAACAATTTTGCCATATGAAATTAATCTCCACAGTTTAGCTGATTTATATGATGTACAGTGATTTTGTTTTTTGTTTTTTTTTTCGTCAAAAGTTTTATGTGTGTAATGTGTTTCTTGTGCTGAGCAATCATAAAACAATTGCGAAACGACACAAAGTGAGGCACGCAGTTCTCCTGCTTCATGGCAGGGGTGCACTCGTGATCCCAGTGATTCTTCTTCTCAACTGCAGAAACACAGTAAGCTATGATCTACAGTTAGCAAGTCACGTGCAGCCATCCATTTATTTTTTCCTCTCCTCTGGCCTCACTTTAAAAATAGAGGATTACATATCTAAACTCAAACAGTTTTCTAAACTGGACTTTCAATCAAAGCAGAAGGTAATAATTACATCAAATCAAATTAAATCAAACATTATATTTATATAGCACTTTTCAAGCAAAAAAAGAAATGCAGCACAAAGTGCTTTACATGTTAACCCCCCCACCCCAACCGAGTCCCCACCCCAGTGCACACACACACACACACACACACACACACACACACACACACACACACACACACACACACACACACACACACACAGATAAAGCAATCTTAAAAGCATGTGGCTGAGTACAGAGGAGCCAGGTCAGGAAACGTCAGGAGGCAGGGCCGGAACACCTCTATCCGGGCGCACACCCCACTACAGGCCAGTAAGGGGCCTACAGCAGCAAGCACTGCTACAGACTACCACCTGGCCGAGCTGAGTGCACACCTCAAGGCAGAGATTGCACAGACAGAGCAAGTCACAGCCTCCAGTGCAGGTGGCCCCCACTGAGGAAACACTGGAGAAATGCAATAAAAACATCAGCTAGAAGGTACGGAAAAACACAAGCAATAAAACAAAGTAAATGCCAGAGATTCTGGCGGACTAACGTGCACTTAAAACGGAGGTAGACCGGACAAGAGCCAAAAAGCCGGGTCAACATCAGCATAAACGATGGGGGAATCTTCCCGACCCTGTAACCTTTCTGCTGGACAGGTAAACCGCTTAAACAAAGTAAGCCAAGTGTCTGTAACAGAAGTGTGTCTTGTCAAACGGAACCTGCTGTGTGTTGTGGCACCGCTAAACTGTTTCCCTCGGGTCCTGGAGTATGTCACTTTATCTTAGTTGTAAAAGTCCTGCAAACATTGTGTCTGCTGTTAGTCTGTTGGCATCTACAGTACCACCAATTCTTTTTACTTTCACGTTGACTGGGCCCCATTTGTAATTGTTATTTTGTAATTAAGAATTTTTCTGCATTATATCTGAATTTAGTTGGAACGATACAAGCAAGCGAGAGCGTGTGTTTGTGGGCGGGGCTTGCTGGAGCAGAGAGGGAGGGGAGAGGAGGAGCTGAAGGGAAAACTGGTTAGGAGGGGTAGTGTTTACATTCAAGATTTCTCCCTAAAACTGGCACTTCCTCAAATCCCGCCTACCCCACCTTTAACTGCTGCCAATAAAATGGTTATAAGCCCCTCTGTAGGGTTCATATGTTTGTAAATCTGATTGTGATGAAGTCAGTGCCTCACCAGTCATGAACCTCACCACATGTCATTGGGCATAAGATATATTCTTCTTAAGTAGATGCCACTCTGAGGCTGTTGATGTAAAAAAAAAAAAGAAAAGAAAAAAGCCTTGCCACAGTTGACATTTCCTGTTTCATTCAATACTCACCAAACACAGCCAGGAGAGTTGTGGCATGATGAAACTCCAACTAGTTAGACTACCATATCTAAAACCTTCACAGACACACTCTCAGTCGGATGAGAAATAGGGTGAAGCTGTTCTTCGCTCAGGCAGCGTTATTAACTTGAAAGGACAAGTTTGAAACTCCAAGTTGTTGGAGCATTTATGTA